AAAGAATCACATTCCCAAGGTCAAAACATCAAGAAAGCTACACCAATTTTAAGAAAAGGAAAAAACTGGAAGCACATGAAGGCACAGCTGAATTTGTTTGCCTCTAGCACTAATTAGGACCAACAGGACAAAGGACATCCTCCTTTTGTCACAGTGCTTTTTTTCTACACTGAGAAAAATATAAAAAGCTCTTACAAGTACTAAAGGCCACCAAAGTAAGTAAAAAATAAGCAGCTAATACCTGTCTAAATTAGTTAATATTCATAACTCTATGCACTTATGATTTACGCATCTTTAACGCGCTTTTCCCTCTTACCAGCACTTTAATTCTAGTCCTAAACACTCATTTGAAACAACTCATTACTCTTCTGCCTTTTCCCTTTTACTTCTCTCTCCTCAAGGCTGCCAATTGGCTGTTGCAGGTGTATGAATTTGCTCACAAAAACTCTAACTTTCTCACTGATTTTCCCTAAAAAATTATATATACACAGAATGTAATCCATGTCACTAAAAGTGGGCACACCATTTGTGTGTAGACACAAATACTGAACACCAGGTTTTCTTTATTATGTCAGTTAATTGATTTGCAACAGACTGTAAATTAAAAATACTAGCTTCTTTAAAATGAGAATGAGTTTCATGCACTCGTTTCCCAACAGCACTTTCAGAAATCACCACCAATCTGATTTTTAAAAGCTAACAGTTTGTGTAATGAACTTGCCTCTTCAGTGAAGAGCGTGTTTGCATAAGAGCAGCTTGATTCATAGCCCGGATCCAGCTATTCATATCCTCTTGGGTATCTGCACTGAAGTAGTACGTCCTCATCCCTGAATGCTCTGCCTGAGAGCCAATAACAGAATTCTTATTATAAATATATGCCCGCATACCTGTATGAACAGCCTGGAAGAAGAAAAACAAAATAGTCAAGACAGCCCTTTCATTTTTCCCCCCCCCCGAAAATTTACCAGAACTTTTCCTGATATCTCATAGTCAACATGGGTTTATGAAAGGCAGGTCT